CTCAGAGAGCCAAGAAAGCAAATATTTGGAAATATATTTCCGAAAGAGCCATGTAGCATATTTTAAAATAATTTGGCCTGATGATTGTAATGATCCGAGTACAATCCACTACCTAGACCCCTAAAGAGTAACCAAAATCATAAAATCTGAAGTTTCTGGAAAAGCCATACGCGATCATCAAAAGAGCCATATATGGCTCGCGAGCCATGGGTTGCCGACCCCTGCGCTAGGGCGAAGTGGGCGTGAGGGGGTCGTGCGAGAGGTAGTCATTATAGCTGGATCAGTTGATTGGGCGATGGCAATTAATTTGCGCCAATGATTGCCTACCTCGGAGGCTTTGCGCGTGCATTGTCCGATAGCTCGAGAGCTATGATCACATGGCCTGTATCACGTCGTGGGTGTGAGATGCGGGAGGCCTATACGCGCTTAAGGTGTTACCAGAGTGCCCAAATGTCCTAAATACTGTGATAAATGGACAGACTTTGACAACTCAGTCAAACATTTAGTGGGTTCGAGTCGTCAACTGTCCTCATTTTGTCTCCAGATATTAGCAATTCAGGGTTATAACGACCAAGAAGAACTAAAAATTTCGCATGATCGTTCGTCATCTCCCTCTTGGGAGACTACCCTTTTATGGCATGCATAGACACAAGTACTGGCTATTTCGTTTTTTCAGTGAATCGGACAGATTTTTCAGAGCATATTACCGAAATATTATCTAAAAGAATTTTGAATAAGCTGGCTACATATCCACACATAAATGTCTTTAGAATTGCTGCCGGTCGGTTCCACGTGCCCTTATAATTCGTACTCCAACAACATTTATATTAGGCATTCAGACTACTTTATCAATATTGGTGGATTCCATACGTTGCAGTAGGCTGGGGGGGGGATAAATTGACCCAATTGTGATTAAATATACCCATGTTAGGTAGCCTGCATTTCCGCGGAAGTTAAACCTACCAAGCGAGAACTCCATAACTACTTAGTTATCATGACTAATTAGATGGCAATCAAACCAATGGTTTATCCGAACTACTGTTACTCAAGTGCTTTTAAAAGTTCCGTCGGACACACTAATGATGGTGTTCTCCGATGACAATATTCATTCTCTGTGATGAGAATGGATTCAGCCAGAAAATTGCGGGCAGGTGTATAGTTTTCATCTTGCCTACAATTTTCTAATGAGTAGTTTAACTATTATAGACAAGTAATAAGTGTCAACTAACTCAAGAAGAGCAGAGGGCGTGTGCCAAGTATATCATAACCCTAGAAAATATATCTCAACCTATCCATCCTGTATATCCCCCACATTTTCTTAAAGCTCGGTAGTTGTTTTCAGCAGTGCTCTTTTGGCTGAAGAAAAGGATGGGAATTTAGGGTGCAGTCAATGTCATCTGTCATCAATGCCAAGTCATTAAAAGCGTAATTAATTGGATTAGCCCTATCCAGGAGGTAGTACCGTTTGCGCGTGGGTTAAAGGCGTCAAGTAATCTGAACTGACGGTTCACGCGGAGCCCTTTAAGGGTTTATGACTGAGTCATGACTCTCCCTTACTCACATCAGCGATCTGCCAGAGTGTGGTTCGAACAAACACATATGTTCGAGCCTCGGATCACTTGGGTTTCGGTATCACTGGCTGATGGTGGCTTTTGCGGCAGAAATGGGCATTCCAGTATCCCTTGTCCTTCCGGCAATGTAAGCTGCCTAAACGGTTAGCCGCTTTGCAACTGCTAGCAGAGATCGAGAATGAGCCCCAAGGCCAGCGGGACGAGTGAGTTCCGTTAGCGATTGGCGAACGTTCATCAATGAATATCAATATCTTTTCATCTAAACTGGCAAGACGACGAGTCCGTGGTTGGGTGATTAGAGTGTTGGACTTGTGGTCAAACGTTCGTGAGTTCGAGCCTCGGATGGCTCACCACGTGGGATGGGATATTACTGTGTGATCATGGCTTCTGAGACAGAAATGACATTCTAGTCTTCCTTGTCTCTGCTTAAATTACTAGCCGCTTTGTGGCTGCTAGTGAGGCTCGAAGGTGAGCTCCAAGGCAAAGCGGAATGGGTGAGTTCTGTTTGTGATCGGTGAACGTTCATCAATGATTACGTCTGCCTTCGGTAAGCCCAAGCGACTTTGACACTCAAATCAGGAAAATGCTTCAGGCCAAGCAATTAGGTGGATTGATCAATTCAATCTAGTTATTACATACCGGCCTACCCTTTTTCTCCTCAACAGGGCTAGGGGGTAGGAACTGCCCCCCCCCCACGTACTTTATGCATGTGACCTACCTCATAAAACGTGAACACAGAAATTAAGACGATCAAATGGGGACAACTAAAATGCTATACATTTGGTTTTACTCGCCTAAAAAATTCCAGAAAATACCTTTTTGCTTATGTTTATGTTGAAAAGTATTCATCCTAAGGAATATAAGCTGAAGTCAAATAGGCTCCTCGGGGTATAGAATTTATTGCGCACATTTTCTAGCTGGTAGCACCAATCCATAATCAGACAAAATGAAAAGTGAGAGGTGGGACTGTCGCATTGGTGTTTGAGACGCATGCCAGAGTGAGTCACACATGAGACTCCAAGCACGTGGCCTCATCGCTGACAGTCAAGGAACACGCTTTACACCCACTCACATAGCTCTGTTCATCTCTCCGTTTGTGTTCTCGAACACAAGTACGAAAATCCCACCTCGCACTTTTTATTTTGTCTGATGACGGGTTGGTGCTATTAACTTGACAATTTATATAATAAATTAAATTTCCCGAAGAACATATGTGACCTCAGAATATGTTGATAAATAATAAATCCGTCAAGGTATTTATAAATTTGAGCGGAGCTCTATCTTACTTTCCAGTGGTTTTCTATACTGATAGCTAGTCTGAACTATCTTTGCAAATTCGAGTGTATTTTTCTACGAGAAGGGTTTGAGCTTAACTTGTTTTTCTTAAGTAAATGCATGCCAAGCCATGCTGAAACGGAAGAGTGCAACCAGGTATCTTGAATCCTTGTTAAAATTAATATTCAAACTTTAGCCTTCCTATAACGACAATACTTTACATTACACTTAACTGCTACCTTCGTTCAAACTTCACTTGCGGTTTTTCAAGAACAGGCCTCATGTAAGGTATTAAATGTAAATTGACCCAGTTGGAACGACTTTTACACGTGTTCGGAACTCCCGCCTTTTCTAGAAAGTTGGTACTTCAAAACAAAGTAAAAGTCCTTTCAGTATTTCTTCTTCATTTTTTAAATTCATCTAACACCGCTCATTATTAGATCAAAGCTTTGGTCCATTGATGGGTGCCGGTTTTTGCCTAATTAGCTAACCTTCGTAAACTTCGCCTACTTTCATGAGATAGGTCACGAACAGTTGCCCTAGTGCTAAATTCCAATAAGGGTAAATAAACTCGTGTCTTAACTCTAACACTAAACGGAACATTGACCAAAACCCACATCGTTATCTAAACGCCAATTTTAACTACAACATTAAGTTCTCCGAAATTTAGCACATGGCCACCGGCATTATGGGGTGTTCCTGTTCCCATGTCCGGCCGGGAAGAGAAAAAATATGAGCAATCCGTAACGAGGCGTTACGCACAGAGAAGTACCTACAGAGATAGTAGAACATCGACTGATAACTTTTGTACATACGAAACTGCTTTTTAACAGTATCAGAAGTACAATTCCTTGTCATGATCCACCTACTGTATTCCGGACGCTAAGGTCTTTCAAAGTTGCAGAGTCAGACAACAGAAAATTGAAAGTACTTTAGAGCTTTTGTAGTTTCGTAGATCTGCGTTTTCAACACCACTTTAAACGAATATAAAATGGTATATAAAAGCACCAATTACTTTAACTTGTTGTTTGTAGTTCCGCTTAATAAGCTGAAAATCGAAGGCATTTAAAATGGGCCTGTCGTCAAATACCTACCAAAGTGAAATTTTAACAATCATCGGCATGAGAATAGTCCTTTAATCTATCTGGCTTTACGTGCTGGTCGACTTCGTTAGATTACGAATGTGCATAGGGATGCTTAGTTTGCTCTGGATTAGTTTATACAGCGGTATCGTCACGATTAAAACAATGCACCCTACGTGGTAACTCGGGTCCATGTTTTGTAAAATCGCCTGTGGCCACGGTTGCTGATTCTCATCCCCAGAACGCTAAATGTGTCCTTCCCATAAACTGTAGAATTCCCTTGTTCTTAAGACTTATTGGATCCTAGCTCCAATTGCAACAACCATGGGAGGTGCAGATGTCAATATTGACTTCTTCACTCTAGTTTTGTCTGTCTGATTTGAGTCATTCCTTACAAACAACAGAAATACATACTATCTATTCTCAGTTGCTAAATATAAATGTCATTTTTACGCCGAAACTTCGAACGGCGTGTTCAAAGCCGTAAAGTCTGCTCTGTGAGATCATACGAGAACGGCCAATTTATTTAGCTGTATAATCTTTAATCTACAGCCATTTATGTAACTTTTAAATCAAGGGAATCCTAATAACTTGTGTTTTTGTTAAATGTACAATAAGCCAGGGAAAACCTTAAAAAATTCATCAAATATCACAAAAAAACCATCACTTCCTGCGAATTTGTTCATGGACGCAAAGTTGTGATTGATCCTGCCGTCTCATTTGATATCAGCTGTACTAGAAAAAACATAAGAATTAGTGCACGATATGGCCATTTGTGCATTGGAGAGCTTCGAACTACAACAAATTTATACTGTTAAACTAGAA